TCTAACTTTTAATCCTATAAATATATTCTGCACTTTTCCAATGTACAGTGTATATATACATTAATGAAAATTGCACACTGTTAATTGTAGATTCGTGTGTTCTCTATCAGAAGTTGAGCTTTATACAAAAAGTTTAATATAAGCCATGTAAACAAATACTAATTATTCTAACTTTTTTTTATAAATAAGAATTACACAAATATATAGCACCCAGTATAGCTTGAAATGTAAATGAAAAGTACATTATTCACAAAAATTTATACATGTCTTTTTTTGAAATAATAAAATTTTACAGCAAGTTTTAATGTAATTTAATTACTATACAATTCTATTCAATGTACATACTTTATATTGTTCACATCTTTCTAAATTTTTAAGGTACTGTATACTATATTATTTATGAAATAAGTATCTTTAAAAAATGTTTACACTTATTTAAAAATATTTCTTAAGTGCGTATTCTTTTAATACTGCATTAGATTCAATATTTCTACATAAATAGTTGTTACTCAAATTATAACATCATTTGAGAATTCCTTAAAATATTTAGCACTTCTTCTAGTTAAGTGCAATGCCAATTTCTTCTTTATAATTTACAATAAATTTAAAGAATGTCAACTCATAGAAAACATTCAAATTTTTCTAATATAATATACATCTAAAAGGACTTTAAAGATATCAATTTAAAAGTTTTATATGTAATAAATTCAAAAATAAATTTTAAAGATACTACATGTGTAATAGTTTACAGATTTTGCTTGGTCACATCAGTATTTTATATTAATTAAAGTTCAAAAATATTTGATTCAAAGATAATGCAGAATCTATTCCCAGAATCAACAATTAGGATTTCTTTTTGCATTATACAAAGTAAAACATAATTTAACACCTGAAACTACAAACTACTAGCTATACCTGATTAGATCTCCTACTTCTGCGAGAAGAACTTGAAAATAATGGACGTGGTTTGTACAAGTCATCGCTTGAATAACGCTGACTGCTTCTATGCCGGCTGCAATTACATAACAAACTAATTATGGTACGAACAATGATGATGTGTTCATATCTTAACCAAAATATTATGGTATCATAAAGAACATGTAGATTCAACTTTTTATATTATGTAGTATATATATTTTGTTTGTTCTCCATACAAAGATTTCTTTACAGCTTGATAGTTTCCTCCTTAAACAAGAAGTTTAAAAAAATTTGTAATAAATTTCATACTTTTAATTTGTTATACATCTTATACTTTTAATCTGTTATACATATTTACAATAATAAGAAATTTGCCTAAAAGTTTATAAACATTACTTCATTTTACACAAAAATTCTTAGATTTAAACAATTTTTTCCCCACATTTTAAGAGTAAGTAAAAAAAATTGTTTACTAGAAAAATAATTATCACACATACCCTTTATCTTCTTTAATTAAATTTGAAGATATTTTTTCACTGGTTGCAGATACGTCACTTTCTGGACTTAGAGGCATAACAAAATTTTCTCCATTTAAAAGACCTTGTGGTGCACATATATTTGGTTGAAGCCTTTGCTTTTTAGGTGCTACCAGTTTTCTCCTTTTTATGTTATTTAATGCCTCTTCATTAGGTAGATTTAATGCTTTTTTATGACCATCATTATTATTATTTGAATTATTTAATAGTATATCCGTTAGTGGGCTAGATGAATGTTTACGTTTTGGTAAAGGAGGTGCCATAGCTTTTGGCACTGAAGATACGACTTGGCCTCCTAAACTTTCTATTATGTCCTCTAAGGAGCTATTTTCTATTAATTTCAGTGACTCCAAAAAACTAGAAAATTTTTCCGATTTCTCATTATCGGCCTTGAAATAACGACATTCTTCATTATCTTCAGTTGTCATTGATGTAGATTCTATATCTTGCTGTTCCTTGTGATCATTTATCACATAGTCTTCATCACTTAAATTAGAAAGACTATTACTTTGAGTATCTTGAGTATCATACCTAAATTTTGATGTTGTAGGTACTTCTATATTTTTATTATCATTTAAATGATTTACACCATCTGTGTGTATACTATTTGTCAAATTCAATTGCTCATCTGTTTCATCTTTGTTACTTTTATCAGTATCAATGTTGAAAGTGTTTGATTTTTGAGATGTTACATTTTCTTCTAATTTAGACATACCAGCTTCTTGCTGAGTTTCTCTTTTAAAACATGTTTCTACAGAATCATCTATTTTTTCAACTTTCACTACAATGTTATCTTTTTTTTCTATTGTAAGAGAGGGTGACTCTCTAGTTTGTAATTCTTCAGTTGTATTATTATCAGACAGTTTTATTTGAATATCAGAACATGATTCTTGAATAGATTCTTTTTCTAATGTTTTATTAGGAAGTGTTTCACTTAACGATTGCCTTATACATAATTCCATATCTGACAATTTTAATTTTAGATTGGCATGTGTTTCTAATAAATCTTTTGTACCAGCTTCTGTTTGTAACATTATTATTGATCTTTCTTCTAATGTTAAATTAGTATGATTCTCAGGATATGGTTCTTCATATTCCTCATCTGGTATTTCTATTATTTGAACACGTTCTTCATCTGGCATACTTTCGAAATTGTCGTTATTTACAGTATTTGATTGTACTGGTTGCTCTATTTTTTGTGTAAATTTCTTCTCTATTTTCATCTCTTTGAGTTTCTGTTTTTCTATTTGTTTCCTAATTTTCATTAATTTTTTGGCTTCATGTATATTCTTTGCAAATTTTGGCTTTTTCACCTTCACTTCTCCTGAAGTGCTATTATCATCACTCAGCAATGCACGCTTTTTGAGAGGCAAATTAATATCATTAAATTCTGATTCTTGTTTAATGTGCATTTCATAATTACCACTGTCGTCTGTTTTGTACTCTGTATGTAATTCTTTGTCCAATTTATAATTTGATTCCAATGATAATTTTAAATCACTGGTATGCACTTCTTCAATATTGTCAGACGTTTCACTACCAGAATTACTCATATGATTTGTTTCTTTAGTGTAAGTTGATGCACTTGATTTACTGTTTGCAATGTTAGAACTGGAACTGCTAGACTGTGAGCTTTTGCTGCTTGATCCATTTGAACCATCTCTATCCGTAGAACGTCGATCATTAGAGTTCCTTCTTAAACTAGAATGATCATCTTTCATCTTGGATTTTTTTTCTTCTCTTCGCCTTTTGTCTTTATTTTGTGAATCATTTTTACTGTCCTTTTTGCTATCTAATTTTTCACTTCGAGTTGAGCTTTTACTCTGTGTGTGACTTTTTATGTCCTTTTTGCCATTTAGCTTTTCACTATTTGGCTTGATATCTTTTTTTACTTCAATTTTTTCAACCCTTTCTTCTCTTTCATTTTTAACAACTTTTTTCATGTCCTGTTTGTCTAACCTTTCTGTTGAATCTGACTTAGTACTGACATGATTTTTGGATTTGATGTGGTCTTTAGAGCTGCGTCTTTCATCTCTTCTGCTTTTATCCTTGTCTTTTGATTCACTTCTTTTTTCTTTTCCATCAATCATTTTTTCAGACATTTTAACAATTTTAATTTCATGAGAGGTTGATGAAGAACTTTTAGAAGAACCTTTATGATCTTTCTTATAAGGTTTCTTGTCTTTTGGGGAATCCTTTTTATCTTTATTTTCCTTGTTTGTTTTTGTTTCTTTGATATCTTTATTTAACTTTTCTTTTTCTGTTAATTCCTTCTTTTCTCTGAGTTCCCTAATTTTTTCCTTGTAAAGATCTTTTAAATCCTTTCCTTCTTTACTAATGTTATCTTTCTTATCTGTTTCTTTTGTTTTATCTTCCTTTGCTTTAGTATAATTATCTTTTTCTGTATCTTTAACTTTATCTGTATTTTCTTTTGGTTGATCACTTTTATCTTTAGATTTACTTTTATCATATTTATCATACTTTGAACTACTATGACTCCTTTCTTTTTTTTTGTCACTACTTCTATCCCTATGCTGTTTCCCATCTTTCACAAGATTCTTATCTTTTGATTTTGATTTAGTTTCTCTGTCCCTGCTTCTATCTTTGTTATTTTTATGTTCATACTTACTTTTTATACTGCTATCCGTAGCATCACGCGAGTTTTCTTTAGAAGATAGATTGTTTTTAATATTTTTAGAATCTTTAATGTCTTGCACATCTTTACTTTTATTTAATTCAAAAATATTTTTATTACCTTTATTTTTACTAGATTCATAGTCTCTGACAGCTTTAAAATTGTCTTTATTTTTAACATCACATTTATCTTTATGGCTTTCATCCTTCAATGTATCATGTATTGGTGTTGATGCATGATTTGATGATCCAAAATCAGTTACAATCGATAATCGAGAGTCAGAGGAAACTTTACTTAGCTGTGAATCTTGATTACTATAATCAAAATTGTCTCGTGATAATTCATTACAAAAATCAGGACTTCTAGATCTATGGCTAGTTAATTCTGATATTCCTGATAAATGTGAATCATTGGAGATGTTAGATTCATTCAGATTCATAATATCAATTGGTTCAAAAGTAGGACTATCTTCTTCATCCTCTTCTGTTTTATCATCTGATTTTCCAGATGTATTTAAATTTAAAGTACTACCAGTCTTATTAAAAAGTTTATCACTTTCATCTAATGCTTTCTCCTCACAAGAAATTTGTCCATTCTCAGATATATCATCTCTACTTTTTTCATTGGAAATTTCTTCATCTTGAAATTTCTGTTCATTAGCTAATAAAGTATCTCTCTTTGTTTCTAAATCCTCCATTGCATCCACAGATTCCAAAGATACATCCTTTAAGCTATTTTTGTCAGACTCTGGTGAAACAGGATCTAAATCCTTAGGTAATAAATCTTTAAGGCCACATACACCATTTTTTTCTTTTGCCTTAGGTCTCTCTATACCTAAAAATTTGTATACTACATCTTCAATTTGAGATGTGAAAACAGAATATACTTTTGGATTCACTACTTGATCCACTATGCGTTCTACACCAGCATCTAAATACGGAGCCTCGTGTATGTGCTTTCGTAATGTTTCTCTCAATTGGTTTTTGTTTAAATCTGGTTTCCATGATTGCTTACTAAGGAAAGAATTCACAGATCCTTCAACCCTTGTACGTAAATTTTGATATGCTGGCTATAATCAAAGTGACATAAATTATTACTAACAACATACTTTTTATTGAAAAATGTCTATTGTGTAGCATGTATATAAATACACTACTTAAAAGCATGAATAAACATTATTTTAGTAACGATTGTGTCAGGATACTAGGATATTATGTAAAATGTTTATGTGAATAATTTCACTGTTATTTAAAGTTCTAATAATGAATCAATTGTTTAAATAGATAATGCATACCTTTGTATCAACATCAGCGATACATTCTTTACGAAATTGATCGAAGATCCCTTGAGATTTAACTTCTCCCACAATGTGATCCACTAATCGTGGATCACCTGCTAATAACGTGTTGGATAAACCCAACTCCATGATAAGTAAAGTATTTTAAATGACTATAATTCACTTGAACACTAAACAGTTATTCATTTTCACTGACGAAGTCATCCCGTGAAACAGTACGCAGCCATACTCCTTGGCTTTGCGTCTAGGTTAAATCCTGTATCTGTGTGAGTAAATGAATAATAATCAGTGATACCAATCTTCGCATTTCTTTATTTACAACTAACAAGTACCATAGTACGAGATAGATGTCGAAGTCAATAGTAAATTTTGTGACAAGCAAATGAGAGTAAAAGGAACCATTAAAAACATCTTATA